AGCACAACCTGCATGACCAGGCATTTACATGCAAAGCACAAGCTGCAGTGGAATAAGCACCTCAAAAACCAAGAAAGGTCTCAGACTCGTCCTGCTTCCTCTTCTGCTGCTGTTTCAGCCTCTTCCTCCACCTCTGGAGTCACAGTGGCACCAGCCACCCTGCAAACAGAGGATGTGGCAGCAACATGGCCCCAAGCATCTCCACACTGTCCCAGCGTTCAGCTGTCCATTTCCCAAACACTGGAGAGAAAGAGGAAGTACCCCCCAACCACCCGCGATCCCTGGCCCTGAATGCCCACATTTCAAAATTAATTTCCTTTGAAATGCTGTCATTCCGTCTGGTGAAGATGGACAGTTTTAAAACCTGATGGCGGTGGCTGTCCCACAGTACGTGGTTCCCAGCCGCCACTACTTTTCCAGGCGAGCGATCCCTTCCCTGCACAACCAATTGGCGGACAAAATCAGGTGTGCACTGCGCTACTCCATTAGTGGCAAGGTCCACATAACCACAGATACGTGGACCAGTAAGCACTGGGAGGGATGCTATATCTCTCTAACTGCACACTGGGCAAATGTAGTGGCGCTGGGCCTGAGGTGGGCCTGTCCTTCCACCACTGAGGATTGCAGGGCATTTCTCTTTGCCTCCTGTTGCCTCCTGTTGCCTCCTCCTCCTACTCCGCTTCCTCCTCCTCTACCACCACCTCATCCGGGCAACGTAACACCTTCACCACCAACTTCAGCACAGCGGGGGGGGGAAACGACAGCAGGCTGTTTTAAAAACACCACACCGCGCAGGAGCTGTGGACGGGCATGGAACAACAGCCTCAAGCACGGCCTGGTGGTGTGCGATAATGGGTGAAATCTCGTAGCAGCTCTGGGCCTAGCCGGTTTGACGCACATCCCTTGCCTGCCGCATGTTCTGAATTTGGTGGTGGAGAAATTCCTGAAAAACTACCCAGATATATCAGAGCTGCTGCAGAAAGTGCGGGACGTCTGTGCGCGCTTTCGGCGTTCTCACCCTGCTGCTGCTCACCTGTCTGTGCTGCAGCGTAACTTCAGCCTTCCCGTTCACCGCCTCATATGCGACGTGCCTACAAGGTGGAACTCCACTTTGCACATGCTGGAGAGACTGTGTGAGCAGCAGCAGGCGATAGTGGAGTTTCAGATGCAGCATGCATGGGTCAGTCATTTTACGGAACAGCACCACTTCACCACCAATGAGTGGGCCTCCATGCGAGACCTGTGTGCCATTTTGCACTGTTTCGAGTACTCTACCAACATGGCTAGTGCCGATGACGCTGTTCTCACCCTTACTATCCTGCTTCTATGTCTCCTTGAAAAAACGCTTCGGGCGATGATGGAAGAGGAGCAAGAGGAGGAGGAAGAGGGGTCATTTCTACACAATTGTCCAGCCAGGGCACAGTTCTGGAGGATGAAGAGGAGGAGGATGAGGATGAGGAGGAGGAACCGTGTTCACAGCAGGGTGGCACACAACGCAGCTCGTGGGCATCACTGGAGCGTGGATGGGGGATACGGAGGACACAGACGATACACCTCCCACAGAGGACAGTTTGTCCTTGCCTCTGGGCAGCCTGGCACACATGAGCGACTACATGCTGCAGTACCTGCACAATGACTGCCGAGTTGCCCACACTCTAACTTGTGCTGATTACTGGGTGGCCACCCTGCTGGATCCCTGTTACAAAGACACTGGAGCGTGATCAGAAGATGGCGACTACAAGCACATGCTGGCAGATGCGCGACTACAAGCGCACGCTGGTAGACGCGCGACTACAAGCACATGCTGTTAGACGCACTGCTGAGGGCATTCCCAACTGACACTGAGGGCTCAGTGGAAGCACAAGGCAAAGGCAGAGGAGGATGAAGAGGTCACCAATGCAGATGGGGCACCGCCATTATCTTAGAAGGCAGGGTTAGCATGGCTGAAATGTGGAAAAGCTTTGTCAGCACGCCACAACAACCAGCACCACCATCTGATATGGAACATCTTAGCAAGAGGCAGCATTTCAGCAACATGGTGGAACAGTACGTGTGCACACAAAATTGTGAATGGTGAGAGCACACTGTATATCTTTACCCTTGTATTACTTAAAACTCCATAGGAATCTAAAAGCAAGAGAAAAGAACATATAGGGTAATATCGAAGCGACTGTAATGCTTAAAATACCATAATATGGTCAAACTCACATGGTCATGAGCCACTTAAAAAAGCTGGCTCAGACTAACAGCATATCAGCATATGTACAAGAGAACTCCAAGCTCAATTGGTCCTTAGTTCAAGCTGTTTCAATCAAATCTGGATGCAAGAAATGATGAAGTGCAAAAAACTTTTATTCCACATATATTAAAAAGCTGGATACAAACAAACACTGTTGTTTTTTAAAAAAGTCCTCTTAAAAATAAACTTGACGCGTTTCGGGATATAGCCTTTTTCAAAAGTCCATCTTTCTTCTTTCTGTCTGGTTTAAATACCTCTTTTTTGGCGCTCTTTCTGCCGGCTGGGATTCACTTCCTCTTCCGGTTTCCGGTATTCGGCCGCATCCACGCCATTATTTGGCGTCTGGCCGCATCCTCCTCTACTTCCGGCGCCACTCACAAACGTAACGTCCCCCACGTATGACGTCATAACGTCCACATCGCATTGCCATCGTGGCGTTTACGTCAGGGGCGGGGCAATAAGTTCCAAATCAATTTTCCCTCTTTAAAAATGGGTCTCTCGGACGTCCAGAGAGGGCAAAAGCCATAATTTAAATTAAAATTACAGTGCACACCATATGATATAATAGATACACATTTACATATATCAAATATACTACAGAGAGAAAAAGGGGGGAAAGGGGAAAGAAATACATATAAATATAAATATAAATTTAAATTAACAATACATTGATATTTAAAAACATATATCTAAATATATGTAGAAAGGAGATTAAGATCAACCCAATTGCATACATAATGTATGCAGATTTGGAAATCTTCCAAGTATATATAAATACCCTTTTAGTACCGTAAATTACCTATATATACTAATTAGGAATCTATAAATAAATTATTTTAAAAAAATTATTTAAAAAATTCCTAAAATTTTTTTGTATAAAAAATGATTAAAATAAAACTAAAATTTGATTAATTTTATAAATATGGGGTGATCTCAAAGTCCACATTTAGACCTTGTGGTATTAGAGTGTCCATATTAAAGATCCACTTCATTTCCGTCCTGTTTAATAAATTTTCTTTATCTCCCCCTCTCCAATGTATATCTACTTTTTCAATTCCTACAAAATCTAAGTATTTTGGATCACTATTATGATACTCCATAAAGTGTTTAGACACACTATGATTTTCAAATTTGCGATTAATATTATAGATGTGTTCCCTAATTCTGATTTTGAGACTACGAGAGGTCCTCCCTATGTACTGTAAACCACATGGACAGGTTAACATGTATATCACCCCTTTACTATTACATGTTATAAAGGATTTAATATCATACTTTTTTGTTGAAGTTTTGGACGAAAAATTCTGGATTTTTTTGGAAGGCCTATTTTTGGTTGCTTTACAGCCCCTACAGTTTCCACAATAATAAAATCCATTTGGTTGTTTTAAAAAATTATCCTTCTTATCAATATCTAAAAAACTTTTAGTTAAAGCTTGTTTAAGATTCCTCGCCCCTCTAAAAATAATTTTTGGTTTATCCTTTATAAAACTTGTTAACCTATCATCTGTTTTTAAAATATGCCAGTTTTTATAAATTATTTTCCTCAGGTCCTTATTATTGGAGCTAAAATCAAAGATAAGAGGTACTTCCTCATCCTCTCTTTGACCTAAAGGTTTATTTTTGTTTTTATATTGTAAAAGTGCTTGTCTATCAATTTTTTCAATCTCTCTAAAAGTTTTTTCCAGGGTATTACTATTATAACCTTTTTCCTCAAACTGTCCCATTAATCTTTCTGTTTGCTGTACAAACTCTTTATTTTCAGTACAGTTCCTTTTGATCCGTAACATTTGCCCTTTTGGGATATTTTCCAGCCATGGTCTAAAATGGCAACTTTTACAATCAATAAAACTATTAACGTCAACCGACTTAAAATAGGTTTTACTTTTAATCTTTTGTTCTTCAATAAAAATAGTTAAATCTAAAAAATTAATGGTTTGCAGGCTAATATCATATGTAAGGGTAATATTCCACTTATTATTATTTAAGTTGTTAAAAAGTGTTTGAAGCGTTTCCTCACTCCCTTTCCATATTAAAAACACATCATCTATATAGCGCTTATAGAGGACCAGATTTGCCCCAATTTTTTCATCATTGTAGATAAAACAGTCTTCCCAATATGACATGAAAAGATTAGCATAGCTTGGGGCAAATCTGGTCCCCATAGCTGTACCTTTAATCTGCAGATAAAAATTTTTATTAAACCAAAAAAAATTATTATTAAGTATTATCTCTATTCCTTCTATAATAAAGTTGATTTGGATGTCTGACAACTCACTAAATTTTCTTAAAAAATGAGCTGCAGCCTCACAACCCCTACTGTGATCAATATTGGTGTAAAGGCTGTTCACATCTGCAGTTGCCAAAATGTAGTTTTCTTCCCACTTAAAATCATTTAGAATATTTAAAAGACTCATTGTGTCTTTAAGATACGCTCTACATTTCTTAACTGGATCTTGTAAAAACTGGTCAATATATTTTGAGAGTGGGGCTAAAAGGGATCCTATGCCTGAGACTATGGGTCTCCCTGGTGGATTATCTGCATTTTTATGTACTTTTGGAAGCACATAAAAGACAGGAATTTTTGGGAACTTAACGTTTAAAAACTCAAATTCTTTTTGATTTAGAATACCTTTTTCCAGTCCTTTATTTAAAAAAGTCTGATATAGTTCTACAATTTTGTTAAGTGGATTATCTTGAAGTTCTTGATACGTATTAGAGTCTTCTAATTGTCTATAAATCTCTTCCATATATTTCTCCTTTTTCCAAATAATTACTCCTCCCCCTTTATCCGCAGGCTTAATCACTATATTTACGTCTTTTTGTAAGTCTTTCAAACCCCTAAATAAATATCAAAATAATCTTATGAAAGAAGAAAGAGAGGCGTTGAAAGACTTACAAAAAGACGTAAATATAGTGATTAAGCCTGCGGATAAAGGGGGAGGAGTAATTATTTGGAAAAAGGAGAAATATATGGAAGAGATTTATAGACAATTAGAAGACTCTAATACGTTTGACCATATTAGAGTTTGACCATATTATGGTATTTTAAGCATTACAGTCGCTTCGATATTACCCTATATGTTCTTTTCTCTTGCTTTTAGATTCCTATGGAGTTTTAAGTAATACAAGGGTAAAGATATACAGTGTGCTCTTACCATTCACAATTTTGTATACTGTTTTATTCTGTTTTGTGTTAAGTGACTCACATTGGTGATTGGAGCACCTAATTTCTGGACTATTTTAACCTTAATCCTTCTATACTTTTAGTACGTGTGCACACGCCTACACGTACTGACTGATGAGTCTGCCCCATTCAACTTCTGGGTCTCCAAATTGGGCACATGGCCTGAGCTTGCCCTTTATGCCTTGGAGGTGCTGGCCTGCCCTGCAGCCAGTGTATTGTCTGAACGTGTGTTTAGCATGGCAGAGGGCGTTATCACAGACAAGCGCAGCCACCTGTCCACAGCCAACGTGGACAAGCTCACATTTATTAAAATGAACCAGGCATGGATCCCACCAGACTTGTCTGTACTTTGTGCATAATAGACATTTATACCGGCCTCACCCAGCCATTGTTACTCAAGTAACAATACTCAAGTGCACTTATTCTTTTTTCTATTTTTATACATCCCAATATTTTTGGGGCTACCATAATTAAAATAAAAAATATATATATAAAAAACAGTGTTGGCTACCTTCTCCTCCTCCACCGCCGCATCCACCTACACCGCCATGGTCACCGCCTCCTCAACCTATGGATCACTTAGTATAAACTATGTACACAATAGCAGAGGCATGGGAAGGCCTTTTCTCCATGCATTAGGAGTTGAGCATTTCTTCATGCATCAGGACTGCAAGAAATGCACCCCAGGCCGCAAATGTTTCTTTTTTATATGTCCCAATATTTTTGGGGCTACCCCAATTAAAAAAACAAATAAAAAACTGTGCTGACTACCTCATCCCCCTCCTCCACCACCGCTTCCACCTACACTGCCACGGTCACCGCCTCCTCAACCTATGGGTCACTTAGTATAAACTATGTACACAATAGCAGAGGCTTGTGAAGGTTTTTTCTCCATGCATCAGGAGTTGAGCATTTCTCCATGCATCAGGACTGCAAGAAATGCACCGCAGGCCGCAAATGTTTCTTTTTTATATGTCCCAATATTTTGGGGGCTACCCCAATTAAAAATATATATATAAAAAACAGTGTTGGCTACCTCCTCCTCCTCCACTGCTGCTTACACCTACACGGTCACGGTCACCGCCTCCTCAACCTATGGTTCACTTAGTATAAACTATGTACACATTAGCAGAGGCCTGTGAAGGCATTTTCTCCATGCATCAGGAGTTGAGCTCAGTTTGAACAATGAAAGAGAATACCCTGCACTCCAAACCTCTCTCAAATGGATAATTCTGGTGATCCTCCTGACAGCCATGCTTTAGATTTTGATTTATGTTCTTCCAAAGCTAAAATCAAAGATTCCATCTAGTGCTATTTTATGGCTCAGCTGTATTTTTAATTTTTATGTTATTTTAATTATTGTTTTCCCTATCCACATTTGTTTGCAGGGCACTTGTCCTACTCTTACCCCCTTTTACTTCCTTTTGCAGCTCTCTAGCCCTTTCCAGGAGTTTTTTAGAGGCATTTTTGTGCCCAAAAGTTTGGGTCCCCATTGACTTCAATGGGGTTCATGTTCAGGGTCAAGTTCGGAGTCAAGTTCGAGCCCGAACCCGGACTTTTTTTCAAAGTTCTGCCGGACCCAATCATCCACTCTATTAATAAACATACACCAGGGTTTAAAAAACTTAAGAATAGTGAGTTAACTTTTAGCTTAAATTAATAAGGGGATACAGTGCCATAATGTAATTTTGTAATATTATTATTATTCTATTAATAATAATTATAAACTTTTGATCATTTTTCTAAACTATTATTTTTAATAATAATTACCCCATAAATATTCTCACAAGCTTGCTGGAGGAAGATGACCTGGCCACCCTGCAGGTACAGCAGCGCTTGGGGCTTGAGGCTAATGCTCCCTTGGCTGATATTAAAGCCCTTTTACAGGGCTAGAGTTCACTCTCCACTGGACCACCAGGGATGGCAGCAGCATGGTCCCCCTCTCTACATAAGGTAAGCAGGGAGGGGGGATATTAACTAATCTGCCCCCACCTCCACCCCCACTATCATCCAAACATACAGCACACACACACAACACCCTCACACACACAGCACCCACACACACACAGCACACTAACATGACCCTAACAAACACACACACACAAACACCCTTACACACACACAGCACACTACCAGTACCCTCACACACAGCACGCAAACAGCCCCCTCACACACAAACAGCACCCTCATACACAGCACACTAACAGCACCCTCGCAAACACACACACAAACACCCTCACCCACATAGCACACTACCAGCACCCTCACACAGCACACGCACACAGCAGTGTATGTATGTGTGTGTGTATATATATGTATGTGTATATATATATACACAAAAAATGGCACTCATCCTTTCAGATGGTAAAATGCCCTGGTGCAATCCCACGCTGAATATATATATAGTAAGTAGATAAAGGTAGTGTACTCTTCGGTCTTTATGCAAAAATCAGTGGTATTTAATGAATTAAATAAAAAAAGGTTTACATATGTCCGATCGACGTGGTGTGTGATTGTGCTTTAGGCTGCGCACGCCTATGGCGGATGTATGTCTATTTTTTTTACTGTCATATGCCACTTGTTACACTTTGCACCTGTACAGGCTATGTGAGGCCTTTGTCTTGTTAACCTGAGTTTTTTTTTTTTTTTTTTTAAAGACAAATGTTATGCTACAGGAGGTTAAGCAACTTCCTGTAGCATAACCATGTACCTCAGCCACACTCCCTTATTTTACAAAGCAACTAGACTTGTGCACAGCAAGAAAATTTGTTCAGCCAAACCGTTTTTTCAGATAATAAAAAATATGTGGCCATGTATTCTTTTCCATTAATCATATGTATTTTTGGCGCCACAGGTGTAATTCAGAATCACAAATCAAAATGAACATACTTGATCATTGCACATTTGGTTTGTGATTTGGCAAAAAAAAATTTGACAAATCAGTAATTGTTTGTGAAGTCCGAAATGCATCCATAGGGCAGTTCGGCCATTTAAATAATTATGAAAAATGATTCGGACAAACAAAAATGGTGATAAAATAGGCCAAACAATGTCCTTCAAAAGATAAATATTATGTATATATTTCCAGTACACTGATACGCATATTTGCACGCCATTTGGTTCACTGATCCACAGATCCAGAAGTGAAGAAAAACAACGATGTGTATAGTTTTTTTTTACTTTTCCTACTCTTTTTCTTCTGACCATCATCTTTATTCCATTCAATCCTCTGTTATTTTGGTGCCACAGATGGAACACCAAAGCATCACAACACAAACAAACATGCTCCTTCATTGTCTGGTTTGTCCATATGGCAATTCAGAGTTACGAAATTCATGCAACTTGCTGATCGTCCAAAATTTGGATGAATCACAGTTTGAGACTGAAAGCCTTGCATGTATATTAGAGTAAATAATCTCCGAATGCCCCTACTCGCTAAACAGTGAGCACTCCCTCACGGCCCACACCCATGAGCGGTGGGTGGGGAACCTAATTAATTAAAGAGGGGGACTTTGTGTCCCCCCTGGTTCTTACCCATGAGTGGCGGGTGGGGACCCTAATTAAATAAATAATGGGGAGGACCTGAGGTCCCGCCCATGTTCGCACCCATGAACAGCAGGTGGGGACCCTAATTAATTAAAGGGGGGGACCTAATTTCGCCCCTGGTCCCCACCCATGAGCGTCAGGTGGGGACCCTATTTAAATAAATGATGGGGAGACTGCTCATGGGTGGGGGCCCTAAGTAACAAAAGGGGGGGACCTACTGTCTTTCCCCCCTTCTGCCCCCACCCATGAGTGGCAGGTGGGGGCCCTAAGTATCAATAGGGGGACCTATTGTCTCCCCCCAAGTCCCACCCATGAGCGGTGGGTGGGGGCCCTAAGTAACAAAAGGGGGGAGACAATAGGTCCCCACTAATGAGTTGGCTTGGAATCCAACCAATCAGAGCGCTCTGAGTCATTTTACAAAGCGTGGGAAAAGTCCAAAGAACCTTCCCATGCTGTATAAAATGACTCAGAGCACTCTGATTGGTTGGTTTCCATTGATACTTAGGGCCTCCACCTGCTGCTCATGGGTGGGAGTCATGGGGGGTAGAACAATAGGTCCCCCCCATTGTCTGTTAGGGTACCCACTCGCCGCTCATGGGTGGGGATCTGGGGGGAGACAATAGGTCCGCCCCATTAATACTTAGGGTCCCCACCTATGGCATGAGTGGGGACCGTGGGGGACAAAGGTCCCCCTTTTTGTATTTAAGGGCCCCCACCCGCTGCTCACAGGTGGGGGCCGCTTATGGGTGAGGACCTGGCGGGAGACAATAGGTACCCCCCATTGGTACTTAGGGCCCCATCCCCGCTCATAGGTGTGGGCCAAAGGGGGACAATAGGTCCCCCCCTTATTGTAATTTAGGGCCCCCACCCACCGCTCATGGTCCAGGTCCCCCCACGTAGTAGGGGCATGTTGCCTAAACAGTGACTGCTCGCTGTCATTTAAAACTGGATATAAATCAGAATCTTATATAGAAGTGATAGAGAGCTACAGTAAGAGTACATGTAACCAATAGTTATAGCAAAAACAATAACAATAACAACTGTGACAAACTCCCCTTTCCAAGTTAGTTTGCCACGAGTCCCCTGCCCACATACCATGGACCCTGTAAAATGTAATGTGAAAGTCTCTGTTCGTGTATTTGGACTATATGGTTTGGGAACCGAACAGTCGCATGAACCGGAGAGCACCCTGGAGCTTGTTTAGCCTAATTGATACTTTGTAGCAA